AAATAATACTAATATTTACATCTTAATTTCTACATTTTCAATCAATAAACTGTCAAGCATTTATTTTTGTAGGTTGCAAGCAAATCAAAATATGTGCTTCTGGTTTTAGAGCGAAGCTCGACACTGTGTTCATTTACACGCATGCAACATATGTGACCCTGGAGCACAAAACCAGTCAAAAGTAGCACGGGTATATTTGTAGCAATAGCCAGCAATACATTGTAGGGGTCAAAATTATCGATTTTTCTTTTATGCCAAAAATCATTAGGATATTAAGTAAAGATCATATTCCATGAAGATATTTTGTAAATTTCCAACAACTTTGAAGGCGATTTTCTCAGAATTTAGAAAATTTTTGCACCCTCAGATTCCAGATTTTCAAATACTTATATCTCAGCCAAATATTGTCCTAGCCTAACAAACCATACATCAATGGAAAGCTTATTTATTCAGCTTTCAGGTGTGTGATGTATTTGAAACAATTGACCCTTACGACTGGTTTTGTGGTCCAGGGTCACATATGATATTTGTCTCAGAATGGCTTGATTCACAGTAAATTACACTGAAAAAGCTGTCTCATGATCTACACTTAACTCTAAAAATGTTAAAGAACATTTATTTAATTAAATCATAACCTGCGAAATTTGACATTGCACTAATGGCAAATTGTGATATGGAATTTATTTCATATATCGTGCAACCCTAACCATACGAGTAGCATACTGTGGTAAAATAAATCAGTTCAGTGTATGGGCCCACATAAAAAGAGAACAAATAAAGCCCTCCTAGTTGACTTTTTTTGCCTGGCCAGTGAAGCGTTTTCTTTCATGGTGATGTGAGAGGAGGAGAGGCACTGACAGTCCTCGTTTCCGTGACATTGCCTGGCCGCTGTCGCCTGATGGATGAGCACTGGACTCCTGAAGGGCCTTTGATCAATGAGCCCCTCATCGATGACAACAGGACACCTGCTTCCCATCAAAGAGACAAGGGCCAGGCAGCTCCGGTGTGGACATCCAGCTCTCAGCATTGATTAACCCCGTGCTCCACTGAGGCCTCATCTTTTATCTCCATGCAGGTTTTCATGTCTCTCAGAAGGAACAGGAACTGATTGTGGACAATTTGTACTCGCTTTTAACGGCAAGTTTAGTATTTGTACTGAATGGTATACACCATAAAAAAGCTGCTGTCAAAAAATTACATTTAAAAAATTAAAATTACAAGACGTTTTGACTTTAATTCAACAAGCAACACACTCGGAGAGCTAAAACTCTGACTTGCCCTTATCGTAAGCCTAACATCTTTAGACACAAAGGTCAGCTGAAAAACAGTGTGCTTCAATGCACAGTCCAATACACGCAAAGCACTACCCTGAAAGCCTTTAAACAAACCACGCTGAATGCTGACATAAGCAAATGATGAACAAGAGAGTGACATATACACCACAAAGAAAAATGGCAGGACACAAAGCATTTTCAGTCAGTTGCATCATAAAAATCGCACAACATTTATAACCCAATAAGCCCAGATACTGTATATTTTGAATGATTATGTTATAAACTCTGAAACATTATTCAAGACAGCGCTGTTGATTTCCACATGTCTAGGCAAAGGTTGTTAAAATAGTAATAAATGAACAGAAACAGACTAAAACACAGGTTTGTACTAAATCCCTTTCAGTAAATTTGTAGTCAACTATTACATTTTGAGAAGGTATTGTATATGGCACTTTTCACCAATATGTACACACTGCAATGTCCCATGATATTTAATAAAAAAACAAAAAAAAAACTTAAAAAGGGCACAAATACATGGATTTGATTTTTGTGACCTATTAGATGTCTTTGTAAACTACTATCCAATTTAATTTACCTTAAAATTAATTAACCATTAAAAATATTACATTTCTCCACTTAAAATCATGACTTTGGCTTGATCCATCTTAAAGCAACAGATTAAATTTGTACTCATTTTAAAACCCAGTTACCTACTATTATTATTGTTATTACTATTATTATTATTGTTGTTGGCGCTGTTTATAAGATATAAAAATAATACTTATTATTAATATTATCATTGTCTTATTTTTATCATAATACATGGACAAAATATTAGTAAAATTACTATTATTTAAATAATATTAATCCCCACAAATAAAGGTTTTAAACAGAATTTAGATAAGTATTTTAAAAAATGTTTTTTTTTACAAAAATTACAAATACAATAAAAAAACAATTCAGCTCCTATGTTATTCAATTTGACCTCCCGAGGTTGATTTAACTTCCATTTGCTGAAATAAAAGAAGAAAATGTTTTGTTTAACCATTCTGTACTATATTTATGGTAAGTGCCATATACTAGAAGGCCTTCACACGGGTTGTGAAGTCATGGAAATTACACTTCATTATTACCTGCAACCACAGATAATTGCAGCACTTTCAGATAGAACATAACAGTGTAAGCATTACTTAAACATAGTCAGAATGCATGTGTCAAGCCTTGAAATTCATGGTTTACATACATTTTACAAGGCTGTTAAATGCTGGAATCTGAACGTTGTAAGGTGTGCAATTATTTTCAGGGAAATGCACAGCTAAAGTAGTTCCAGGCAGGTCTTGCCCGTATTACATGGCCATATCACTTCGCCAAATGATTTCAGTTATTTCAAAGGTTACAGCTTACAACAGCAAAAGAACCAAAACCCACAATGACACTGACCATCAAATAAATATAGTAAACAATAGAATAAAAATGACAAATTATTTCCATGTTTTCACAACAAAATTACGTTTTATTATGTACAGAAAGCACATACTCTCTTTCTCCCTCTATCTCTCCCATACAATCTCCCATGTTTGTACTATGCGTGTGCGTACACACACATGGTATAAACACACACGCACAGAAATGTGTTGTCAGTGCTGCTCTGATGATATTATCAGTAAATAAAATGTGACCCTGGACCACAAAACCAGTCTTAAGTCGCTGGGTTATATTTGTAGCAATAGCCAGAAATACATTGTATGGGTCAAAATTATAGATTTTTCTTTTATGCCAAAAATCATTAGGATAATAAGTAAAGATCATGTTCCATGAAGATATTTTGTAAATTTCCTACTGTAAATATATTAAAACTTAATTTTTGATTAGTAATATGCATTGCTAAGAACTTCATTTGGACAACTTTAAAGGCGATTTTCTCAATATTTAGATTTTTTTGCACCCTCAGATTCCGTATTTTCAAATAGTCGTATCTCGGCCAAATATTGTCCTATCCTAACAAACCATACATCAATGGAGCTTATTTATTCAGCTTTAAAGATGATGTATAAATCACAATTTCGAAAAATTTACCGTTATGACTGGTTTTGTGGTTTCAGGGTCACAAATAATTTATGCTACATGTTATTTCTCACTATCTAGGTAGGTAATAACGGCACTGTTCTTGAAGCATATAAACTAAAAAAGTCACTATTAGTAAAAATGCTGCTGCCGAACTCTGTTGAGAAACAAACCGACTCAGGTGATTCACACATGCTTAATCTCTCTCTCTCTCTCATAACTCCATTAATAACTGCATTAGTCTGCTATAAATGGTTGAAGCATCCGTTACTATGTCTAAAATGTTGTTTTGGAATTAGCAACGGAAGCGTGGGATGAGATGCGTAAGAAATTAATCCTACACAAGAACGTTTAAGGACAAAAACTGCCAAATGTCTTGAAATACAACATCTGAACAATGTCTTGAGGTGTGGTAATGGTAGTATAAGTGGAATAATTGACTCCAGTCCATTGAATTATTAGAAAATAATGCACACCTGAGGTGTAATGGTCACGACACCTCGGGTGTGCATTATATTCTAATAATTCAATGGCCCATCGGCAACAATTCCTTACATACACTGAAAAAAATAAATCAGTAAAATAACAGAAAAAGTACTGGCAGCTCATTACACACGACATTATCCATACATTTTATGGACATTTCTGTTAACTCTAAAACACAATGCAATGAAGTGTTAAATTCAAAATACTGGTAAAACCCTTTAACAAATTACACAGTATATTGTGCCCTATTTTTACAGATTTTTTAAAACACTGTATAACAAATTGAATATTAGAGTGGATCGTGACACATGGAGGTTTTTCACAGAAAGGAGAAAGATCAAAGAGCTGATACAAGTCTGGCTTAGTAGAATAATCAATAACAATCATCATCATTTGAATAACTATTCATCCAGCTCTAGATACAAGTCAGTTGCTAGTGAAACTTCTGCATCTCAGCAGCTGCAGTGTCTATCACAGCAAGCAAAAATGGCATGAAAATATCTCACTACACAATAAAAACATCCTATCATCATCATCTGCATTCGTAGCTAAACAAAAATGTCAGTGAAGTAATATCCATGTTTTGTGAGATACAGAATGAGGAAGCAATCCAAACAAATCCTCAATAATCCACTACTGGACATGACAGAAAACAAAAGCTGTGGATTACTGGCCTGGCCTTGCATGATCACTTACCCTTCTTCAGAAGTATGAGATATATTTTTAAGGCTAAAGCTTTTGATTTAATATCTAGGGACTGTAACATAACCCTGCAGCCCAAGGGCAAGAGGCACATCTATAGCATCTGTCAGTGTGCAAATAAAATATGCAGATATTGTATGTGTGTGGTTTTCCTCTGCATGGACAAATACCAATCTGATTTGGTTTCCTTATAGCTCGACTAAAGTCTCTTTACGTCCAGTGCTGCGGTGAAACAAATTGAAATACATCCTGTGTCACAGGAACAAATAAGGTAGCAGACAACCTACCTGCAGCAATGTGCTGCTGAGATTGGATTAGAGAGCTGTACCTGATAAAGTCAGTTCAGGAGACAAGCTCCAGCACCCTTCTTTACTGCCATGCCGAATAACACGGTTCATCTAGGGACTATCCAGACCCCACATCCAAAGTGCATTCTCACTGCCATATATAATTACATCCAGACATATACAATACCCTGTGCCACGGTGATTGTGTCATATGCCTGATATTCTAGAACCATTTCCAATGTGATGACATTGAAGAAGCCCAAGTGATCTATTGTACTGTTGGGCTGGGTATCCATAATGATATCCTCATTTTGATTCAGTCTTGCTAAAACATTTAAACATATTTTTAGATGAAAATAATAATGAAATAAAACAAAAATATCAGATGAAATTTTTTTTTAAATGCAAATTAGAAATGTTGCCTTGGCAAATAACTAAAATAAAATGTGTTAGTCTGCTGTCACTAAGGCCTGAACGCATCTAATATACAGGCACGCATCTGTTTTTCTCTTAGCTGTTTACTTAAATAGTTGGTTATGTCTAAAGTGAATGTAAACCTTTTGTGTTTTTGACAATATCAGATGCAAAAGATAACTTAGTCTAGTGTTGGGCGATATGCTCCAAAGTCACATTGTCCTATCATCAGCCTGTGAGATCACTGATACACGATATTATTGTGCTAATTTATTTAATCATTTAATTTCATTGCCAGAGAGTGAACCAACTCCAGGGTAAGGCTTAAAAGCAGCCTAATGTTAGTTTAATTTATTAACTAAATATATAAAATATTTTTAATATAAATGAATTTGTATTTAACATGAAAATTATTTAATAGAAAAATTGTAAGTTACTAATCACAATGCTTACATTTCCTCAAACAGCAGCTACAGAAAACGAGCAAAGAACATTTACATTATCAAAGAACATCATCACGGACTTCAGTCTAGCATGAGTTTATGCACTTTAAAATAAACCCTCCCATTATAATCAGTGAAGCTATCTCTTCTACTTACTTTGCACGTACATCTGCACTTGTTTATGATGACAGAATTCGCAAGAGAGCAGAAATTCAGTCAGCAAGCGCGCACTCAACAAAACTCCAGCATTGACTAATCTGAACGCCTCTGATTGGTCATTGCATTCATAAAGTCAACGGAATCATGTGTGATTGGTTATAACTCGCAACAATGTAAAAACACGTAAAAAGAAATGATGGGACAAATAATCCCTAATATTAATTAGATGATATTACTAGCCTGATAGTATTACTAGCCCCAGGCGATATCTCTGACAATCGTCGATAAACAATACTATTGTTTATCGGCACAACCCTAATTTAGTCCAGTAATCAGGCAATGTTTAACATGCTTCCTAATGAATCAAATCACACCAGTAATGCCGATCATTGCTCAAATAAAGATTACTCGATGTATACTGCTGATTATCTACAAAGAACCTGATTCTTTACCCAGGCCAGAACCGTCTTATGATGTGCAGAAATCTGAGGCTGAAGCTGAGGCTATTCATTATTTATTTAACATTGCTGGCATCCGGCACTGTAAAAAATGTTTTGTCAGGCTACCTAAAAATGTGCTTCATGTGGTAACGTCTAAATCATTCTGACAACATCCAGGTACACCTACGAACGTCCTTTCGTAGGGTCAGATCTGCTGGAAATTGCTCCCTAAGTAACAACAACAGTTTCACTTTTTAGTGTGCCATTAAAACCAAACCAGACCAGTCAAGGATGAGATTGGCAGACTTTAAAGTAGTTCATCCAAAAATGAAATTGATATTCAATTATGAATTACTCGGCTTAATGTGGTTTCAGACTCTCATTTTGATACTATCTTCATTAGACACAAAAATAGCTTTTAAAGGTAGAGATCATGTGCTGCTGTCTAGATCCAAAAAGGAACTATAAAGTACTATGAAGCTCTATAAAGTCTGTACGACTCAATATTCCATATCTTCTGAGACGGATTAACAAAACTACTAACCGAATCAACTTTTTAATTTTCTAGTATGAATAAGTTAGCATAAATTAAAACTAAGTTAGGAATTTATCATTTTTTATGAATGTTTTCTTTTTCCTTATTATTATCATCTTTATTCAAACTTAAAGGGATAGTTTACCCAAGAATTCTGTCATTGATTACTCAACCTCATGTCTTTCCAAACCCGTAAGACCTTCGTTCATATTCAGTACAGAAATTAATATATTTTTCATGAAATCTGAGAGCTTTCTGACCCTCCATAGACAGCAAGGGTACTACCATGGTCAAGGCACAGAAATGTAGTGAGGACATTGTTTCGCTTGAACAATGTCTTGCAGGTTTGGAACGACATGAGGGTGAGTAATTAATGACAGAATTTTCATTTTTGGGTGAACTATCACTTTTAGTTTTAACAAGAATTCCTGAAAATAATATATATAAAAAAATGCAAAACCAAGTGCTGAACTTCCATCATGCCAGTTAATCAAAATTATAACAATATTTTCTGTCATCAAGAATTTTTATTTTTATTTTAGTGACATTCTTATGAACTTATTAGAATTTAATTTAAGACATTTCTTAACTATTTCTTTCAGAAGATTTTTGTGCAATAAGCCCCTAAAGCCACACAATGCAAACTTTATATACATTGTCTTTATATACACTTTTGATCTTTAACCGCAGCTCTCAAATAGGACGCCTATGGTAGAATTTCTATGGTAGAACTATCAGAATTTTGAAGTTATTGACATCCAAAATGCATCATGGGGCCATACACTTTTTGTCCTTTTTGGAATTTGACAGCCTGTTGATCTTAAAAAGAAAACCCTCAAAAATAACAGAATATGGGTTTGGAATATCACAAGGGTGAACAAATAACACAGTATTCAAATACTCAGTAATCAGCATTGAATAAGAAACAAAACTCACCTCTACACACAGTCCCGTTGTCCACAGACTCATACCCGGCCTTGCACACACAGCGCCCGATAGGTACCAGCCACTCCCCATCTCCATTGCAGTACAGTTTAATGGGAACATCCACTTCCTCTCCATTAGGTACACAACTGCCCCGGGCAGACACCAGAGAGGTACTCTCCGCACCTGACAAGGTCTCCTCAAAGATGGCCCCATTCTGAATAACTCGGGGGCATTTGCGATAGAAAACCTTCACGGCGATGAGCGACATGCATGCTCCGTAATCCTGGAAGGCCAAGTAGAAGCCTTTATGGGACACTGGCCCGAAGCTGCGTACTTCCGTGTTGATCTTCATCACACGGCCGCCCAGGTCCACCTGGGAGAAACTCTCATCGGCCGCAATGGTATCCACCTTGATCCAAGGGTTCTCCATCCAGGCGGGATACACCTTGGTGGCTATGTCCTTGTCAGACTCGAAGTAGTACAGATTAAAAGTCTCCTTGCAAGAGCCAGTGACGTTCGGGATGCTGCTGCAGTCTCGCACGGAGAACTTCATCTCCACGTGGATCCGTTGGGCTCCACGCCGCTGGATGTATTTGGTGCGCACCCAGTTGTTCTGGTTGGCGTTGAAGACGTTGCACACCTGGTAGGTGCGGATGGTGTTCATCTTCTCGTCGTAGCCACTCACCTCTTCCCACTGGGACCGAAGCACATATAATAACATTTGAATAAGCAACGTGTGCTTATAATAGTAAAAACTTGTTTTTCATGCTATTTCCATATTTATGGGACATTCGTTCGTGGTTTCGCACCATTACAGACACATTATGACATCTAAGGTAAAAATGTGCAGAAATGAGATAAACGGCATGGATTGCATTAAAAATAATCTAATTTGGAATTCATTCAACTTCTATTTCTGCACCACATGAGTCACGCTGAATTTGTGTGCTGAATTATTCATTTATGCTAGGTCTGATCATCTAAATTATTTCAATGAGGCTCACCCCCAGTGATGGATATATTGTCCAGCCAAGCTCTGCCGTTGCCGTCGTGGAGTCCATCAACACATCTGAAAAGAGATGCATGTCAAAAACCTGTAAGTTTAAAATGCTGCCGCTAAGAGCCTTTTACTGCACGTTTGAGCATTTGTGAGGTCATTGTTCTTCAAGTCTCTTATCAGTAATTATGATGCATAATGGATAGCTTTTCTGAATGTTAAACGAAGGATGACTCACACCGAGATGCAGAAAAACAGTTGCCCATTTCACAGCGGTAATAGCTCACTATTTTTGACTCTTATTGTTAATCAAATGTTACAAATGGCCATTACTAGATTGGAAGTGTCATCCATCACAGGTGACAGATCACACCATGTTCTAACATCTGCTTCCCTTCACATCTAGTGCGTAATTGGCCCGGATGACAGAGGGTGCCTTTCTATTCAATATGGCAAATTGGACAAAATAGTTCAGAAACATGTCTCTGATCTGACATTTTCAATTATTTAGCCAGGTACAACTGGTTTCTGCATACAGCCAGAATCAGCATAATGAGACTCTAGAGAGGGTTTTAGTGCAAAAGATTTGTTGTAGTGCTTTGAAGCTGGCCTAAGGAAACAAAATACAAATGAACAAATTAGGAATGCATTGATATTAAAAGTCTGGCTGAAACCACAAAGCAGATTATTTTTTCACCTTGCGGCCAATATAAAATTCTAAAAGAGTTTGTCAAAATAAATAAATATGAAAACCTAAGTGCATTTAGGCATCTTAACATTATAATGTACAGTATGAAATCTATTAATTTTAAAATGGGCAGATTACATTTAAGTGTTATTTAATTATGAGTGTTTTTTAAAGATTAACTTTATCTTTTTATCTTAGTCTAAACATAAAAATAAGGGAACTGAAAATACACAATTAAATATCCAAAGTCAACCAATATATTTCCCAATATTAATGGAAAAATAATAAATAACTAAAAACGTATTTCTTGAAAAGCAAAGTTTTCTCAATGTTTATGTATTTTATCCCAAAGATTTAAAATGATAGTGCTCCCAAAAAAAAAAATTACCCTATGATTTACTTTACTTTAGTCTTTTTTCAGACTAATGCAATCAGAGTTATATTTAAAAACATCCTGTCTTTTCCAATAGTCCAAAAGAAGTCCAATAAAGTGCCTCACACAGTTCCGGAGGTGTGAATAAAGGCCTCCTGTAGTGAATCAATGCGTTTTTGTAAGAAAAATATCCGTAGTTAAAATTTTATAAATAGTAATAACTTCTGCTAACTGACATACGCACATTCACAAGAGAACGCCATTCCAGGCGGATGACGTAGGATGTGGGCGTAGTCACAAAATAACACCCACCCACTGCCATTATAAAGCTTGGACGAGCTTTAAAATATAACTAATTGGATTCGTCTGAAAGAAGAAAGTCATATAGCTGCACCTAAGATGTCTTGCAGGTGAGTAAATTATGAGCTAATTTTCATTTTGGGTGAACTATCCCTTTAATAGATTTACAAAAAAATTCTCATTACAAATTTGGAAAGATGGTTGATGTGTGTTGCGTTTTCATATGCACATTATATGCATCCCAAACTCACAGATGGGGGTTCATGTTGAGCGGCATTTACTTTGAACTGAGCCATTCCGAGACACTGAAAACAGTGAATCATGAGCTGCTTGTGTGCAAAAGAACACAGCGCCACACTGAGCTATGCAACTCGCAGTGTATCAGATATTTAATTACATCACAGCCTTTGTGATTTGATAAGCCATAATGGTTTTTCACGACCATAATTTGTTAAAATTCATAAAAAGTAAACATTAGGCACTTGCCAATGACTGCGATTTTTAATCAGATTCAGCACTTTATGAATGAACATTTTGGACTGTGACTGAGATGTTAAGGGTGTCCGGTATTTGTTTAATAATTGTTTAAGGCCAATTCAAAAATCCTGCCACGTAAATATGAAATAAATACATACTATATGCTAGTTGGAGGCTGGTTGTGGGACATTCTCATTCCTGAAGGACAAAAAAAAATTGATGCAGTGGCAGTGCAGGATGATTCTTCAGTATTTCTGGTCAGTTTTCCCAGAAAATTTAAATCTGTATATCTACTAAATTTTTTTATTTTTTTCCAGTGTTAAGGAGCACTCTTATAGACAGCCTCAAAGTGAACAAACTCCAAATAAAAGTCACAAAACTTCCAAAATTTAGATTTTTATATGGTCTTAATCTGAAAATCCCATAAACCAATAGCGTGAAACATTCAGAATGGAGATGGGAAACTTTTTTCCCAAAATATTTAGAAAAATTAGAGTACTACCATCTGTCCAAAGCTGTAGTACAGTGTATAGCTGTTTATTTTCATGTATATAAGAAACGTGACTGAGCATTTTTCATGTCTTGAGGGATGATCACATATGGGGTCCTGCCAGGGCATATGGGCCTCAGTCAAGGCAACATAAACACATCCAGTGTGACACACAGACTCCCCGTGGCATTTATGAATCGGGACAGGTGGCAAGAGGACTTCCTGAGATCAAAGCCAGAAGCCCCGTGACACAACATCCTGGGATCCCTGTAAACACTGGCTCGATACAGCCTCAGCCATTAAGTCTCTCATTCATATTTCAGCAGCTTCTGCAGCTCAGGGGCAACCAAAGATATTTCTCTCAGGAACAGCACCATCGCTGTGTTTAGTGCTGTGAATGTGAGAATATGATGAGGCCGGGAGGAAAATACAAGAGGAAACAAACAATCCTCTTAGACTTCATAAGCTTTTGGGTGAACTATCCCTTTAATAGATTTACAAAAAAATTCTCATTACAAATTTGGAAAGATGGTTGATGTGTGTTGCGTTTTCATATGCACATTATATGCATCCCAAACTCACAGATGGGGGTTCATGTTGAGCGGCATTTACTTTGAACTGAGCCATTCCGAGACACTGAAAACAGTGAATCATGAGCTGCTTGTGTGCAAAAGAACACAGCGCCACACTGAGCTATGCAACTCGCAGTGTATCAGATATTTAATTACATCACAGCCTTTGTGATTTGATAAGCCATAATGGTTTTTCACGACCATAATTTGTTAAAATTCATAAAAAGTAAACATTAGGCACTTGCCAATGACTGCGATTTTTAATCAGATTCAGCACTTTATGAATGAACATTTTGGACTGTGACTGAGATGTTAAGGGTGTCCGGTATTTGTTTAATAATTGTTTAAGGCCAATTCAAAAATCCTGCCACGTAAATATGAAATAAATACATACTATATGCTAGTTGGAGGCTGGTTGTGGGACATTCTCATTCCTGAAGGACAAAAAAAAATTTATGCAGTGGCAGTGCAGGATGATTCTTCAGTATTTCTGGTCAGTTTTTCCAGAAAATTTAAATCTGTATATCTACTAAATTTTTTTATTTTTTTCCAGTGTTAAGGAGCACTCTTATAGACAGCCTCAAAGTGAACAAACTCCAAATAAAAGTCACAAAACTTCCCAAATTTAGATTTTTATATGGTCTTAATCTGAAAATCCCATAAACCAATAGTGTGAAACATTCAGAATGGAGATGGGAAACTTTTTTCCCCAAATATTTAGAAAAATTTGAGTACTACCATCTGTCCAAAGCTGTAGTACAGTGTATAGCTGTTTATTTTCATGTATATAAGAAACGTGACTGAGCATTTTTCATGTCTTGAGGGATGATCACATATGGGGTCCTGCCAGGGCATATGGGCCTCAGTCAAAGCAACATAAACACATCCAGTGTGACACACAGACTCCCCGTGGCATTTATGAATCGGGACATGTGGCAAGAGGACTTTTGAAAGAGAAAGTTGTAGCATTTCCCACTACTTGGTGCACTGTTTAATCAAACCCCCTCTCCATCTGTCCAGGCATTCATGCAACCTCTCTCTCTCTATTTTAATGAAAAGTAGGGCAGCGGGAGCCCAAGTCCAGTACATATAATCCTTACAGGCTGCGCTACACTCTGTATGCCACACTGGATTAATCCCACGGGAAACATGGCGAGTCTTCACTGGATTTTAGGTCAGCGTGCCAAGGCACAACTTTCAGTCCCACATTTTTTTTATTTATTCATTTCATCGCCCAGTTTGCACATGCTGAGCCTTGCCGATGCGGTGAACACAAGCACGCACCCCAAATCCACAGAACCTCATCATCCTCATACCAAATCACTCTCTTTGGGACATCATGTTATCATGCTGTGTGTAATTTTATCTGTATCATAGCATGGCATTTAAATGCAGATGAATAAATCTCAAAATACCAATATAATGGCACAACATCATAGCAAGCAGGGAGGATTAAGGAACGTTGATTTTTCTGTCAAATGCACTAACGTGATAAACATAGAATCCTTCCTCTTGATGTGACGAGTGAGAAAATATCAACAGTGAAACTTTAAGTGGAGAAACTGGTAAACACTATTGGTAACAAATCTAAACTGGCTCTGTAAACACCACTTTGTGGCTGAGAAGCTGAATACTTGAAGTCTAATTTGCTCTTGTGATAGTGCTCTTGAGAATCTACTGTATGAGCTACACTTAATGGTTTTTTATGGCCGCACTGCTCCTTTCCATGCTACGGGACATATGAGATTGATGAGACACATCTAGAACTTAATTATATGCAGGGATTCAGGCTGCAACTAAAAAAGACAACTAAAAAAGACGTGGAAATTAGGGGTGTAACGATACACGTATTCGTATTGAACCATTCGGTATGAGGCTTTTGGTTCGGTGCACATTACAAACCGATCGATTCGATTCGTTGGACTAATCCTATTACGTTTGGACAATAAAACAGCTTAAAGTGTGTGAAATATGATGTTCTCAGTGCCACTGCGCTCAACAAGGCAGCCCAAACGACGTAACAGGCAACGTGCGGTCTTCCCAGTGGCATAGCGACTCCCCTTGTTGGGGTGCGTCGAAAGACGATGATCTTGTATCGACGATAGTCAGCGATTTTGTCAAAAATATAAATTGTTGGCAATATTAAGATATCTGGCATTTCCAATTAATGTA